TTTAATTTTTAGTAGAGACGGTTTCACCATGTTAGCCAGATGTTCCTATCTCCTGACCTCGTGACCGCCGACCCAGGCCTCCCAAAAGGCTGGGATTACAGGGTGGAGCCACCCTGCGCCGGCCACATTCTTTATTATTATATAACCAACCTGGTTTATCCATCTGGTAAGATTTTGACATAAGTGCCACGTCCAGTTGAATGGCCATTAATAATGTACTTAAGGAGATCCATGGATTACATACATCATAAATTATCTTGTGTTTCTAAACTGCCATACGTTCCTTCGCCCCAGCCTACCTCCTAACAAAAAAAAGAAATCAACTCTTATTTAGTTTCTCAGCCTGAGCAACATAGTTAAGACCCTATCTCCTCCTCTCACTTTTCTCTTCTTGTGGAAACCGGAAATCCCGCTCTGTTGCCCAGGTTGGAGGTTAGGGTGGCGTCCCCCCTCGGCCACTGCCAACCTCCACCTCCCACCATTTCAAGCAATCTGCCTCAGCCTCCCCAAGTAGCCTGAGATACAGGTGGCCTGCCACTCGCCCGGCAATTTTTAGTAAGAGACAGGTTTCACCGTGGTTGGCCAGGCTGAATCGTCGACCCTGAACCTTTCGTGAGTACACCACCGCCTGGCCCCATTAAGAACCCTAACGTCTACCAAAAAATAAAATAGCCAGGGTGTGGTGGCACCACACCTGGTGGTCCTAGCTACTGGAGGCTGAGGCAGGAGGACTGCTTGGCCCAGGACGTTGAAACACTGTAAAGAGCGGACTGATCACTGCCTCCAGCCCTGGGCAACAGAGTGAGACTCCATCTTCAAAAAAAAAAAAAAAAATTCTTTTGCTTGTTAGAAGTGAATCCTTTTACTTTTCCTCTCCTTCTGAGCCAGGAGTAACATGTATGATATAGCCAGAGGTTTTTCTGTCAGGTATAACTATAGCTGTAGTAACTCTTTCCAGTGTTATCAATTCCATTTGAGTGTAGGGCCCGTCAGAGGAAGGTTCGTGGCATTAGGCTGTTCAATTGAAATGCTTAGCAGATTACCAGTGTTCCCTCTGTTCTCCCTTTGTGGTTTGCCAGCAGGATTTCCTTTCACCTTGTCTTCCCAGATTTGCCCATAACTCCCACCCTGATAGAGCACAAGGCCAGGGATAGGCCCAGAGTCTTCAGCAAATTGAACAGAATGGGCCGTCTTCCTCTTCTATCCAGGGAGTAGAAACTTACTTCCCTGTTAAGTTGTTTATCCTAAATTTTGTTTGTCTAGTCTTAATGGTTTGTGTTCCTGATTATAGTTTGAAAGCTGCCTTAATGAAAGTATGTGTATGCCTGTTTTCTACAGTTTAAGATAAAACCTTGTTGGCCTTTGAGTCAAAATTTGAGATTTCTGAAACCCCAACTTTGTGTTTGACTGTAACTCACACAAACATATTAAAAACACTGTTTTTTTTGAAATCCAAACTTTAAAATAGGGTAAGTTTTGAAGGTAATTTTAAAACCAGGCACAGTGGCTTGCTCCTATAATCTCAGCACTTTGGGAGGCTGAAGCGGGAGGATCGCTTGAGCCCAGGAGTTCAAGACCAGCCTGGGCAACATAGCAAGAGCACATCTCTACCAAAAAAAAAAAAAAAATTAGTCAGGCATGGTGGCACACACCTTTCATCCTAGCTACTCAGGAGGCTGAGGTGGTGAGATACCTGAGCCCAAGAGTTTGAGGCTGCAGTGAGCTATGATCACCACTGTACTCTAACCTGGACGACATAGACAGACCCTGTCTCCAAAAACAAAAGTGATATTTTAAATAAAATATTTACTATGCCATTAAACAACCAGTCCTTAAATTGCATAAAAAATTCAACATGATTTAAAATCACCCGTTTAGGAAAGCATCTATGGTGTAAAGATATCCATGATGATAATGAGCTGAGTATATACTTCATTCTTCAGTATAGGAAATTAAAATGTGAGTTTATCAGAATGAGTAACTTAAAGAGAAATTGCGTATCTCTTCTCCTGTCTTTTTAAATGTAAGAATCTCTAGAAATATTTTTTGTTTAAAGTAGTGGTAGAGCTGTAAAGTGATTGTTTTTTAAATAATTATTTTTAGAAGTTATATTTTTGGGTCTTTTTTTTTTTTTTTTTTTGAGACAGGGTCTCACTTTGTCACCCAGGCAGGAATATAGTGGCGCAATCATGGCTCACTTCAGCCTCAACCTCCTGGACTCAACAGAACCTCCTGGGCTCAACAGATCCTCCCACCTCAGCCTCCCAAGTAGCTAGGACTAGAGACATGTGCCACCATGTCCAGCTAATTTTTCTATTTCTTGTAGAAACATGGTCTCACTATGTTGATCAGGCTGGTCTCGAAGTCCTGGGCTCAAGTGATCTCCCCACCTCAGCCCCCTAAAGTGCTGGGATTACAGGCATGAGCCACTGTACCTGACCAGAAGTTATATTTTTTTAAAACTCCTAGGTCCAATGAGATTATTAAATGCAGTATAGCTTATGTTAAACAAACATTACTGTCTTAGTCTGATGAGTTTTGGTCTCAAAACTCACATAAGAATAAAATTACTTAGGCTGGGCACAATGGCTTACCCCAGTAATCCCAACACTTTGGGAGGCCAAGATGGGCAGATTGCTTGAGCTCAGGAATTCAAGACCAGCCTGAGTAACATGGCGAAATCCCATCTCTACAAAAAAATAACAAAAATTAGCCGGGCATGGTGGTGGGCACCTGTGGTCCCAGCCATTCGGGAGGCTGAGGTGGGAGAATCACTTGACCCTGGGGGATGGAGGTTGCACGCCACTGCACTCCAGCTTGGGTGATAGAGTGAGACCCCATCTCAAAAAATAAAAAGAATAAAACTACTTTTGTAACTGTGGAGAAATCTGTGCATCTCAGAAACTCTCCCTGATGAACTTTGAGTTACTCTGTGGTTTGCATGTCTAGGAAGTCACTAGATTGGACACCTCCATTTACAGCTAGCATTCAGGGAGGTCACCTCAAGTTCCCAAGTCTCCTTTGTCTCTGCACATTAATAAGCCAAAAATCCAGTTACTACTCTAAACGAATTGATACTCACTATAAGTATTTGAAGCCAGAACATGTTCAGATTTTTCTCAGAACATTTTCATGTCTCAGTTAACCATTGAAGTAGAAAAGGAAAAAAACAAAATTTGCTGGGTTGTTTTGTGTTTTTGTTTGTTTGTTTGTTTGTTTGCCCCTCGGAATAAGCTCTAGTGATTTTTGAACACATGGCTCTTGGGCAGTGTACTGTGAATTGCTTTTACAGCTCTAATTCAGGAACAAAACATGCTATGAGATTAAAGGCTTGGAAGGATTATGTGAACTTACTTTAAACTTCATTTTGGACACTGAAGGAATTACTGTGTGAAGAAAAAAATGAGTCTTTAAGCAGTCTCTAACAAAGTGGCAAGTTACTATTAATGGTTGGTTTTATTCAGCTGTTTTTGTTTGGTTACCTGAGAAGAGAATACCAGTACCATGGAAGTAGAAATAGACAAGAAGTTTATAGCTCCAACGTGCTTATGATCTCTTTGGGCAGACAGAACACGCTTTTTTTTTATTGTAATATATGTACTTATTACAGAATATAGTCACCATCATTTGTCTACTGACAAGATTACATAGAAAAAAGAAATTAACATTAAGAAATGCTTATCTTTAAATGTTCACTTAGATATTGGAAAAAATTGGGGTGATTTACTTAACTATGCACATATATATATATCCTTTTTTTTTTTTTTTTTTTTTTTGAGACAGTGTCTTACTCTGTCGCCCAGGCTGGAGTGCAATGGCAGGATCGTGGCTCACTGCAACCTCCGCCTCCTGAGTTCAAGTGATTCTCCTGCCTCGGCCTCCCAAGTAGCTGGGACTGCAGGCACAAACCACCACGCCCAGCTAATTTTTGTATTTTTAGTAGAGGTGTGTTTCGCCATGTTGGCCAGGCTGGTCTTGAACTCCTGACCTCAGGTGATCTGCCCACCTCGGCCTCCCAGAGTGCTGGGATTACAGGCGTGAGCCACCGCACCCAGCCCACTTCAATATTTTCATCAGTAAATTAGTACACTTTAGAGTTGCAGTGATTAAAATAATAGATATACAGCATATAAGTAGAATGCTTGGCAAACAGCAAGTGCTTACTAAGCAATGGCTACTCATAATAGTAACAGCTGATTTAATAATAGGATCTGTGAATAAGATAGTATTTTCTGCTCTACACATGAAGAAATTAATACTTGCGGAGGATAAGTAATTTGCCTAAGATTGTCCAGCTAAATAAAAAGTAGAGCCAGATTGAACCCAAGAAGTATAATTTCAGAGACCAATCTCTTAACCATAATACTATTACACTCCCTTATTATTCATTCATTTATTTCACAAAAAATTAACTGCCAGGTACTGTTTGTCACTAATAACATTATTTATATTGAAGACAGAAGAAAATATGCACAATGCGATGAAGATGGGCTTATAATGACATAGCTTTTTACTTTGACAAAGCCTAATCCAAATATTTAAGCATTTGCATAAGTAACATCTGCTTTAAAAATATAGAGTCAATGAATATTGCTTCTCCCAATAACATGAGCCAGATAATTTCAAATAAATAATGTGTTTATAAAACCTTGGATTTTTTTCACTGTATTATTCATGCATTTGGATAAGACTTGAGTGAGGATATTTCTTATTTATTTATTTATTTATTTTACTTATTTTTATTTTTTTGTTTTGTTTTTTTGAGACGGAGTCTCGCTCTGCCTCCCAGGCTGTAATGCAGTGGCGCGATCTCTGCTCACTGCAACCTCCATCCTGGGCTCAAGCGATTCTCCTGTCTCAGCCTCCCAAGTAGCTGGGATTACAGGCACCCACCACCATGTCTGGCTAATTTTTGTATTTTTAGTAGAGACGGGGTTTCACCCTGTTGCCCAGGCTGGTCTTGAACTCCTGACCTCAAAATGATCCACCCAACTCAGCCTCCCAAAGTGCTGGGACTACAGGCGTGAGCCACTGAGCCCAGCTACTTATTTTTAAAGATTTTAAAATTACCAATAAACACTGGTCATAGATTGACCCTTGTATTCTAACTACCAGAAAGCAGACAAGTCATAAACCATTTGCTTCTTTATCCTAGTCATGAAATAACGTGTTCTGAACAGAAGCACTCACAGTTGAGTTTAAACAGCCTGTTAGTTTCATATGAGTGGGATCCTTTCAGTATGCTTAATTTTTGCTTCTGAAAGTTTCTGCCATCTCAACTTTCAGTATAAGTAGAACTGTTTTTTGAGTTTTATGAATATATATTTATTTATTTTTAAAAACCAAAGAGATTTTCTTGGTGATTATTGTCAACTAAGCTGTGACATGTTAATGATGTAGTTTAGTGTCCCTAATAAAGTCACATGAATGCTTTTCTATATTGTGGGGTTTTCCATTCAAAAGTCAACCATATGATTGCATGTGTGCTGAATTAGACTTTGTAAAGAGATTATATAATGTCTTCTTGAATGTTTTATCTAATAAAAGAAATATAATGGGGTCTGTGCTACTTCTGGCCGAAGCAAGACAGGTGAGGATGTTTTTTGTTTCTATTAAATAATTCAGTTGCTGACAGTTATCTCTTTGATGTAGAACATAAAAAATGGGTTTAAAAATACTATAAGGAAGGAAGCAAACTATTAGTAGAATCTGGATGACCAAAAGATGTCTTTTCACAGAACTGTAAGTCAAATCTTTCTCCATAATGGACGTACAGGTTCTTATTTTTCTCAGATGGCTTACAAAAGAGGAGTATGATGTTAGTACTACTAAAAAGGAAAATCCAATAAATGTGGTTCCAATGAGACCTGCAATCTGAGAGATCATGGCTCCTAGTTCCATCTGCCGATTGTAGCATAGGCTTTCTTCTCCTTCTGTAGCCTCTATGACTGAGTAGTATATAGTAACTGGAATAATTATGCCCAGTACAACTCCCCATATGTAAATGCATAGTTTTCTAGCAAAGTTGGGCTGGCGAAATTTTTTCAGTAAATGGCCATAAAATATTTTCTCATAGCACGAAGTAGTCTCTTGCAAGGAATCCTTTTGCATTAAGGTAGCGTAGCGGCTTACGGCAATCCAGCTTAAAATTAAGAGGCTGACAAACATACTTACATGCATGGATAGAGTTCCCAGAAAATTGACCACTCTACATTGAGCAGATTGATATTCCCATTGGAAACCTTTCAGGAAATAGATACTCATGAAAGGCATGGCGCTGCACACAAGTAAGTTTGCAGTCACAAGGTGTGACAGGTAGATGTGCGTTGATGTTTTTTTACCTATTTTTGTTAAAAATATCCATTGAGAGAGAGAGTTTCCAAAAACACCAACAATACAAAGGAGGATGTAAATGATTGGTAAAGCCATGGAAGAGATCATAGATGGTTGAATACATGTTGTGTTGTTGTTCATTTATGTCAGATTTTCTTGAATTTTGTCACGGGAGCTAGAACAGAATTGCAGATATTTAATATTAAAATTATTTTTGGTACAGTATTTAAGCTGAATAGTTTTTTTTTTTTTTTTAAAGCATTGAATTAAATAAAATAGTAACAAAAATGTATTGGATGGAACGGGAAAGTGTAGATGGCTTCTTACCTTTTCCAATCACAATTGTCCGGTTGAAATAAAGACAAAAAGTTACTTATTGTGATGGATAATGCCTTTGTCTAAAAAACAAAATTTGATGTAAATAGTTACATGCCTGGGATTTATAATTTTACTTAGAGAAATGGATAGTTCTTAGATTGTAAAACAATTTGTAAGTGATGATTGATTTTGCCTAGAAATATAATTTAAAAATTTTTAAGGCACATGCAACCAATACATATTGGCCAAAGTATTACAGAAGTATTTTGTGGCCACAATAATAGAGAGTTGACTGGTTTTTAATTACCACATTACTTATATATAGTTTTCAAAATGGTGTCTTTTTGTGTCTAGGCTAAAACACTCCTTTATAACCTAATACTATTAGAAGAGTCTCTTTTCATATTTCAGAAGTTACCTCAATTCCACGTGAGCAAAATTTCAGGCAAAATCCTGAACTGAATAGAAGAAAAGTGTAGCAACCAAGGACAGACTCCAAAATCCCAGGGTCATTACCAAAGAGTATTTAAAATGTCATTTCAAATATTCAATGTTAAACTGTCATACTTCAATAAAAGTTTACACATGTATGTCAAAACTGTAGTTACAGCCAGATGTGGTGGCTCTGCACCTGTAATCTCAGCACTTTGGGAGGCCAAGGTGGGACGATTGCTTGAGACCAGGATTTCAAGAACACCTTGCGCAATGTAGCGAGACCCTGTCTCTATAAAAAAATACAAAAACTAGACTGGGTATGGTGGCTCATGCCTATTATCCCAGCACTTTGGGAGGCCACGGCCAGCCTGGGCAACATGGTAAAACCATGTCTCTACCAAATAATTAGCCAGGCATCCTGACATGTGCCTGGAGTCCCAGCTACTTGGGAGGCTGAGGTTGGAGGATCAGTTGAGCCTAGAAGTTCAAGGCTGCAGCAAGCTATGATCATTCTACTGCACTCCAGCCTAGGTAACAGAAAGAGACCCTGTCTCAAAAACAAAAACAAAAAAACTGTAGCTGCTATGCTTGTTGGTTAGAATATCCTTGTGTGTAAATTGGTATCTGAGTTTTTCAGAGGATTTTTTTTTAAAGGATATGATGTTTTAATCACAACATAAATGCTGGTTTTTACTTTTTTGTGTCTTATATTTAAATCTTTCTCACTTCAAAGGGTACATGTGAAGTGCTGAAGAATCATATACAAATTGCTTTTATTCTTATTTTTCTCCTTATTTCCTCACTTCTTTCAGGTGAGAATAACAAAAGTTACTGGATTCTGGTCAAATAAGAACCATGGTCTCTATTCAGAATGTGCCATATTCTCTGTGTCCTTCACCATAGCCTTCTGGGCACCACATTCTCCACTCTTTCATGATCTAGAGCAAGGTTTCTCAATCTTTTTTTTAATCATGTTCTCTTTTGATAAACATAAAAACTGTACCATACACAGCCCTTGGAAATTCTTATATCCCCCCAGCCCCTCAGGGCAATTTTACTCTCTACCCCCTTCAGAATTATGGTTTGATTTATTTTCTGTATCTTGGATTACAGAATTTGGGTTTTTTCCTCAAAATAATATTATAATTTTGTAATAATTTTTTAAACCAATCCACACCCAAAGTCTTGAAAACTTGAGGACTGTGCATTGTGTGTGGGTTTAAATACCGAGATTCTTAATTAATGTCTACCAGTGTCTTTATAATTTTGTTTCTTTGCTATTTGTATTTAGAAAACAGTCCATATGCTTCATTGTAAGTTTGTATCTGAATCTAGTACAACCTGATGAATTATAATCTGGTTGCAGTTAGTGTAGACCCTGGCATAAATATATAAAACCTAATCTGTAACTTCACCAGTTCAAAAATCAGGCAGATGGAGTGTGAAATGAGCCGGTTTATTTAAGAAAAAAAATTATCTGCTCACAGTAGATTTTGATTTTACATAAGGAATGGAGCTTCCTTTTATGATGCTGTTAAAGAAAAGCATTAGCTCCTGCCTTGTGCAGATAATGCATAGTATATTAAAAACTGCAAAGGTAATGGTGCTTCTGTATGAATAGTAAATGCTTCCAAACAAAAAGGAGATAAAATATACTTCTGCAGAGGCTAGCTTTATCAGACAGAAGTTGAGTCTCTATAGGACTCTCACTATAGCAATCAACAACTAGGTCACCATCTTTACCTTCCCAAACTTGTATCTACTATGTACATCTCCTTCAAAAATAAACTTTGATCATAAAACTACTTGATAACTATTTTCCAAAATTTGGAAAGTACTGTTGAACTTAAGAAATGAAATAAAAATTACATGTTACAGATGCAAAACTGGTCTTTAGAAAATGTCTGTAAGTCTATATTCCCCTCAGGAGAATGTCTATCTCAAGTCACTCGTGCATACATTTTTTCTCTGCTAATTTGACAAATGAAAAAAGTTCTACAACTCTTAACTTCAGTTACTAATGACTATCTACATAATTATATGCGGACTGCCTTTCTCAAGGATCAGCTTTCAAAATTTAAACCATTAGGTCCTGTTTATTTTTATAGAGTTTAATTTTTAAGCTAAAAATGAATAATAATCACTCTTACCTGTATGAGTAGTTTATGCCAACTAAGGTTATATTGTTCAGGGCAGTGATGCCAAATTTCAGACTTAAAATTCTCTGATCTTCGCTCTTCCAATATCTCTAGTCAGTGTAAATAGACTCTTGTATGACACCAACTACAGTGGGAGGAAAAGGGGAAATTAAACAGTATTGAAGAAATTCAATAGTTATGGTCAGTGTGGCAACTACCTCCTCAAAAAACCCTCATTTCTCTATTTCTGTAGCGGGAGGAAGTTGGTGGACAATATACATATTATACTTCCTTATGATTATTTCTTGAACTAGTTACACCCCAGTAAGCTTTGTTTGCACGATTGACTGAAGTTCACAGATTTAATCCCCCATGGCTAGTTTTATATGACACAGTGATAGAAAGAGCCACTCTGTTAGTAACCCAATACAAATATTGGTGCAAATTTGTCTGTAAAATTGTTTGTGGATGGCTTATTTGCAATCCATCTTTATCAAAAATAGAAACAAAACTCAAAGTTTTCTTATAACTTACTAGAATCAAATATTATAGAGCTAAAATAGAACTTCATGATCATCTATGGATTGAGACCCTTTGTTTTAAAGTTGAAGAAGCTGAGGCCCAGAGGAACTCACTGTAAGCACAGACTGCACCCAGGGTTGGGTCCCAGTTTGGTTACTAATGAGTTAACCCACTCTGTTTCTGATTGCCCTGCACTACCTCCATTTATCAACATAATACACTGTTTGGGGCATTTCATAATAGATTTGGCAAATCCTGGGAGTGCCAAGTATGCCTCAGATCAAATGAATAGTTATATTAATAAAGAATTGTGAAACCATGACTAGTCTAAAACAATAAAAATTTTAAAAATAGAATTGTGAAACCAATTTTTTGTACAAGATTGTCGAATCAGCCTGTGACCTACTAACTAAATGAAAGCTAAGTGTGTACATCTGGGGCGGAAGACTTGCATCAAGCACTCCCTCTCATCCTTGAGTAGTTAAACCAGTGGGAGTCTGAAAAAGAGAACAGAAATCTAATTTCATCAAACTTGAGCACTTTAGTTATCAGTAAATCTTCACTTAAAATTAACAGAGGTACCTTGCCATTTCTCATAAACCCCTGATGCTTACCTTATTTCATGTTTATTTCATAAATTCTCTCTGATGTTTGCTAATATTTCTCTCTAAAACAAAAGTGAGATCTGCCTAAAGTGTCCGGATTGTGTTCTGCTGCTGTTCATCTTTGCCTTGCCACCATTTACTTAAGAACAGTGACTCATCCAGGGTTTCATGGCCATTCATTACAGAGTAATTTGGCTTTTAGAATTCTTATCACTTTTACTTCAGTAATGTATCATGTTCCGGGAAGGAATTACATAGAACAAAAAACAGTTTTAAGTAATTTAGAGAAGAACAGAAATGGAATGCTATTTCTAAGTGATTGAAAAATAGTTGTAATATTATCTGTTCAGGCATACGCATCTTTGGTCCGAAAGAAAGAACACTCTTGTTTTCCTCCATTGTCTCCAAACTCAGTAAATGATACCATCACTCCTTCAGTTATTCAAGCCAAAAACTTAGGAATCATCCTTAATTTCTCTTTCTTTCACATCTCACATCTATCTAATCAATTGCTGGTACTACAGCTTCTACTATCACTACCATCATTCATTAGCCACATTTCATGAGAGCTTACTATGTGCCAGATATCTTGCTATGTGCCTTACATTCAAGTCTTATTTGGTTTTCACAACACCCTGTGAAATGTCTCATTTTAAAGGTGAGGAAAACTGAAACTCAGAAAGATCTCATAAGTTGCCCAAGGTCACACAGCCATCTGTCCTCACAGGATGGTGATTGGCTCACCTCAAAGCAAGTAATTCAAGAACAAGCCCATAGCTGCAATGCCTTTTTGTGATCCAGCCTCTGAAGTCAACACTGTCATTTTTGCAGTATTCTATTGGTCACACAGAGCCAGCCCTGGATCAGTGTGGGAGGGGTAAATATCAGGAGGTGATGATCACTGGGAGCCATATTGGAAACTGGCTACCACAGATGTCAATCAACCATTGAAACAAAGGAAGAGTCAGAAGTACTGCTTAAAAACCGTTGTCAGTCCACTGGTTGTTTATTGGGCAAGCATACCTGGATAGGTGTAAGTTTTGCCAGTTCTTACACTATTTTGGTTTTTAGGTCTATTTTTGTTAAACAGTGTAATTCATTCAACAAATATTTACTGGAGTTTCTACTATGTTCCTAGCAGCATGTGGAGGTCACAGAAGTAGGATGTTTAGTCACAAGCTAATTGAGGGTCTCTGGAAATTGAACAGATTCCACAAGCAAGCCAAGAATTTAGATTAATATGTGATATGTGATACAGATTTCAAATGCTCTGTGAATTAGAGAAGGGCAGAAACAGTGACTCAAAGTGGTTCTGAAAGGCTTTGTGAAAGCAAATGGAAGGAAGGAGAGGAGAACATAGCCTAGTGAGTGACAGTTCTGTGCCAGGTATGGGACAGAGCATTTTATGCCTAAGAACCCTAGAGATGTGTGGTGGGAGTCCCATTTTACACGGGAGGAAACTCAAAGAGGTTAAATAGTTTGCCTAGAGGAATACAATTAGTAAATTTGCTTTAAAATGACCTCATTCTCTGCCTTAGAAATTATTGGTTGTTCTTGCAGGTCAATAAGGGTACCTTATGGTACTCACGATAGGGTCATGTTTTAAGTATTTTTAACTTTGTTCAGATAGGGTTTCCTGTTTGATTTATGTATTTGTGTATCCTGTTCTAGACTTGAGGTAGCAGAAACTGACTATGGAAGAAATCAAGTCCAGTTTTTTTCTATCTTTGAAAACTCTGGACTTTGTTAAGCAAACTGTTATTCCAACAATGTCAGTATAAATTCTTTAGGATTCGGGGATTTTGAGTTCCCCAGTTGAACTATAGGTGAATTTTCATTCTTCTAAGAAATTAGGAAATACTGTTACAATTGGTAAAAAGAGTAAATGTCAGGGAATACTAGATTAATAAAGTATGTTACAAGTATTCTGTAAATGGCCCCTTTGGACTTTTCTCATTCAAATCACCGGTAGTTTTCTTTGGTTCTCATTCATCTTGCCCATCCGTCTCTTCAAGGTTCCCCTTCTATTGTCCCAAGTCCAAATGCACTTGACCTAACAGTTCTAGTTGCTTCCTATATCATCTGCCAAATATTGATCTCCTAAGTGTTCTGCTCTCACCCTTAGGATTTACTTCCTTGAGGTGTTAGAGTTATGTCCTACAATTGAAGTGCTGTCTTGTATTAATTTTCCTGCTTTTGAGATGGATTTGTGTATCAAGTGTGTTTTTTAATTTGGCCCCAAAATTCATTTGGAGTGGTTCAGTGAGAGTGTTTCAAAGGGCAGGCACATACTTGGCAGAGGAGATACCATAATCAAAGGGCAGGCATACGGACATTTATTTTGGCAATCCACGGTGGGCTGTACATAGCAGGGGGACATGAGAGCTTTCCTGACTCACATGGATTGTTGGGGTTAGAATTAGGGTCCCTTATCAATTTCCCTCAGAGCCAGAACCCAGAGGACACAGGACAGCTTAGTCATTCCTGAAGCCATGTGCTTCATCTAGAAATTATTTTAGGCTATCCAAACTAGTGTTTAAACTGGCTGCAATTGGCCTTTTAAGTACTCTTACTGACCAATCAGGAGCTCAGGGAATTGGGAGGCTGGTATGCAGAAAGAAAAGACATGACTAATTTATACACATTAGACTATCGTATTCAAAAGATAATTATTTCTTTAAATCAGGGGCAGTAGTAAGTAAGCCTTGTCCAGTTCAACATATACCCAAGCCAGTGGTTATCTTTAGGAGGAGTGAGGCACAGTGCAGTTACCCAAAGCTATGGTTTGTTCAAGGCTCACTGAGCCCCCTGTCCTCTCCAGGAAGTGGTATCTGGCCACAGTCTTGTTTCCAGTCACACTATTCTCAGGCCCTCACCGCCTGCCACAAGTAGCTCTGGTCGTGGGTGTCCCACCCTTAATTAGAGTATGAAGAAAAACCTCTCCTTGTTCTGAAGAGCTGGTTTCTCAGCAAGCAATGGGAGCATTTCTCTCAAGAATTACTTTTAAAAACAGCAGAAAATACAATCTGAAGTTTGTAAATTTATAATAACACAGAAAAGTTATCAGCTTTTGTAAAAAGTAAAATAGAGGTTCCTCTTCAAAGACCTTCCTCTCCATTTAATTAGGAATAAATAGTAACTTCTCTTAGAAGCAAAATTTATTTAAAGACCTGTGCTAACATTCTTAAATATCTGCTAGCCGTAATAAATAAATCAGTGTACTTTATGTTCTTAGCTCCCGCAATTTGGCCCAGATATTTGCCCTGGCATGCTTATACTGGTCCAAGCAAACATTGGGTCATAGCCTGTTCCTCTTCCTTATTTGAAGGTGTTTTTACCTTTCTCAGCATTCCACAAGTTACTTCCTCCTTCCTTTGTTCTCCTCTGCCTTTGCCTCTTTTAAAAAGTTCTAAGTTGCTAGCCAATCAAGACAAATACAGAATGTGAGGTCCCGTTCCAGCCAATGGAAACCGGACACAGCAGTAAGGTGGACGCATCACGTTATAAATGACCCTGTCTTCTTTGTTCGGTGTCCTCCTGTGGCAAAACTGCTGGCGAGTGTACCCTTTCTGCAGGAAGTAAAAATGGCCTTGCTGAGTAAATTAAATTTATGCTCAAGTGCTATTTCTTTATGGCACCGGGGAACAAGCATTTCAAACACTTTTAAGAAAAGACTAATGACGGCCGGGCGCGGTGGCTCAAGCCTGTAATCCCAGCACTTTGGGAGGCCGAGACGGGCGGATCACGAGGTCAGGAGATCGAGACCATTCTGGCTAACACGGTGAAACCCCATCTCTACTAAAAAATACAAAAAACTAGCCGGGCGAAGTGGCGGGCGCCTGTGGTCCCAGCTACTCGGGAGGCTGAGGCAGGAGAATGGCGTAAACGCGGGAGGCGGAGCTTGCAGTGAGCTGAGATCCGGCCACTGCACTCCAGCCTGGGCGACAGAGCCAGACTCAGTCTCAAAAAAAAAAAAAAAAAAGAAAAGACTAATGACAACACAAAAATGGACTTTGTGAGTTGAAAAACACACATACACAAACTCAAAGGGCATTTTCTTATTAGTTTGCATTTCCTTATGCATCCAGTGAACCAACTCCCCAGGAGTTGGATCCATCTCTGAATTCCGCTAGTAACTTCACCTTCAGTAACCGATTGCAGCACAGCTGCTGCTCCAAACTGTGGGTGACCACCCAGGAATTTAACGTTCCTCATCTCCCAGCCCTTTCATTCTTTGTCTTACCAAACCACATGTTTCTGTGAACCTGAACCAGAGCCATTCCAACAAACCCCACTTCATTGACACTGAGACAGAGTAGAGACAGGCTTGGCTTCAGCTCACCTCCACTAGAGCAGTGATCACAAAACCCACACCACTACCTCAAATGCTAATAGTTCTTAAAGAATTCCAGGAATTGGCCTTATGAGATAATTAAGATTGCCTCAGGAAGGAATGCTGAACAATTGATTTATAGCCTTGTTGCCACAGGCCAGACCACCAGGTGGCCCATTGCTCAAGATAACCATAGCAACCAGATCTGCTGACCTGCTTTGCTCAGCCCAGCCTGCATACCCTTCCCCTGTTACTAGTTCCTGCACTTTGCCTAATAAAAAAGCCCTATGACTCTTTTCAGGAGGAAGCCGGGAATTCTCTCTCTCTTGTGCTGCCTCCCTTTTGTTTGGGCATAAGCTCCAGTGAAGCTTTGTCTATGAAAACGCTTTTGGCCTCATATCAATTTCTGTTGCATTGAGAACCCAAGAACCCATGATTGGTAACAATGCCAATTGAGGGTAGAAAAAAGAAAAACAAAATCACAAACTCAAAGTGCTTTTTCTATTCTCTCATTCAACAAGAGTCTAAACAGATTACCTCTGTGACCAAATGTGTGGGGATTTCTCCCAATGAACAAGCAAGGAAGCAGTTCAGTGGACACCAGCTGGGTGTCCTCTAATTCAGTTCTATTCTGACACTATCTACCTGGAGATAGCGTCAGATCCCACAGGTTGAAGGCTGAGTCCCCAAGACTTCTTTCCACCTTCAGATGCCAATGGCAAACCTCAGGTTGCTTCACCTGTGCTTCTGACCCACAGGCTATATAAATCAAAGATCCCACAGCCCCCTCTTTGGGCCCAATTAATTTGCTAGAGCAGCTCACATAATTCAGGGAAATATGTTTACCGATTTATTATAAAGTATATTACAAAGGATACAGTTGAAGAGATGCATATAGTGAGGTGTGGGGGAAGAGAGGGACGCGGAACTTCCATGACCTCCCTGGGCGTGTCACCCTCCAGGAACCTCCACATGTGCAGCTATCCAGAAGCTCCTTGAATCCTGTCATTTTGGGGTTTTATGGGGGCCTCCTTACACAGCCATGATTGATTGAAGCACTGGCTACTGTTGATTACCTTAACCTTCAGCCCCTCTCCCCTCTCTAGAAGGTTTAGAGTAGGGCTAAATGTTCCAACCTTGTCATCCTGCCTTGGTCTTTCCTGTGACCAGCCCCATCCTGAAGCTACCTAGAGACTGCCAGACAGCAGTCACCTCATTAGCATATAAAAAGACATCATTTTGGAGTTTTTGAGGATTTTAGGAGTTGTATGCCAGACAACAGACCAAAGACCAAATATATATTTCATAGTATCCAGTCCACCCTCTGTCTTGGATCCCTCATATCAAAAGGATGTACAACTCAAAAGATACAGCCAAATTACTAGAATCTCATTCAATCGGTAATAATCAGTCCAGCTCATCATAGTATATGAATGTCTCCCAAGGCGAGGCCACTCAGGTTTGCAGGCTTCCATTCAGTCTTGTCAGAGTGCTCTCGGTGAACATAAGCTTCACCCTTTACAGCAGCTGATATAATTGAGCTAGGAGACAAGATATCATTTCTTGCTCTAAGCCTCTTTTGAGGTATTAATATAATACTGGATTTCTTTCAGTTCATAACCCATTTATTCTTTACTCTCACTACTATTTTTCCTTATCTCTATAAACTCCCAAACTTTTCCACCTTTGGATGGAATAGTAGAATCAGCCACTGTGCTTGTCTAGATCAGGCAACAATACTAGTACAGCAAGTGCTGCCCCCTCAGTCCACTCCTGTTTATGTTAGAAATAAATTTTTGGTGCCACAAAGAAGAATCAGCACTCCTGCAAAAAGTTTTCTCAGCAAGGCAAATTAACTTCTATAGAAGGGTGCATCTCACAGATGGAGCAATGGTGAGAGCACACAGAACAAAGGAAAGCAGGGGTTTTTATTCCTAATACAATGGGTTTCTACTACTGTGTCCTGTCTCCATTGGCTGGAGCTGGACTGCACAATCGAAATTAGTCCTGGTTGGCTAATTTGAAGTATGCAGGGAGGGGGTTACACTGGCAGGAAGGGCAGTTTTGGGGGTAAGAGCTGTTATGGCAGGTGGGGTAATTTGCAGAGTGAGTGACTAAGGGCAACAAGCAAGAAACAGCTGTGGACTATAGATTAGGACTGGCAGGAAGGTTGTTTACTGCAGTCAGGGGCAAGGAGACATGAAGAACAAGGAAGTTGAGTTTGAGGACAAAGAACAAGGGAGTTAACATGCCAAACTTTTAAAGAGAACCTGACTGACTGTATCTGACTTTCAGAAAGGGTAAGGTTCCATAGGTGCAGCAGAACGAGTGGGCTGTTTTTACCACCAGGGAGTATAGCTGCATTAATTGTTAGCCCCAATTTTGTCAGATGGGATAGGGCACAAGCCACTCCTTAGGAGTCCACCCCACTGTCAGACCCTTAGGAATTCTGACTCAAAGTTTAAAAACATAGTTACAGTTTCTTACTCAGGAATCACCTTCCTTTCAGCACTTATAGTCGCAGCCCTGGTCCTAGGACCAATGCATCAGGTAGAGGAAACGTAAAAAAAAAGTTGAGGTGATATGGGAAAGAAAAATAAAGTGTGCTCATTATACCAATGTACTGCTCCCTTGGCAAGAAATGCATAGTCATACCAGCATCCTTCCACACCTCCCATTCCCGGATACCTCAGAAAAGCAGAGGAATCTGCTGAGTGGGGAACTTCCCTTAGCCCCACTCATGTTGAATGTGAGCACACACTTGCAAAGGCAAATAAGGCAGCTCTTCGTGCTTTCATCTCCCTCTGTTTTAGACAACCAGTGTTTTCATTGCCTGTTCCACTCTCTATCAAACCGTTACTCTGAGGAAGATGTCTCTCTGCCCATTGCTGAACATTATAGGCTATATAATGTGTTCCTGGGCCTGAAGAAGTGACAGCCATCCAAATCTGTGCAATATCTTCTGCTCTAGCTTTTATGGCACTCTGAGCAAACTATTACTGAGAAGAATATCTCTGCCCACTGCTGGAACATTATGGGCTGTACTGTGTGTTCTTTGGCCTGAAGAAATGGTGTTCAGCTCTCCAAATCTGTGCAGTATCTTCTGTTCTAGCTTTTTTAAGGCATTCTCATAATTCACATCTTCCACCGGGCAAGCAAAGCCCAGTCCAGAATCAGTGTCTACTCTTGTACAAACTCATTTGTGTCCTCCCAGGGCTACCAGCATCAGCCTCACTTGCCAACTTGTTCAGGGCTTTCCCACCAGGGAAATCTGCCCCACAGCCATGGGCAGTGTCTGTCTCTTTTGCTGGCAGACAGAATAGTTCTTATTGGCATTTCATACCTGAGATGGTGCAAAAGAGACATGTCTAAATGCAGCCCATCTCTGCACTGTTGCAGTATCCGTTTATCCACTCATTTCATGGACCCAGGTGGCCACTTCAAGGGAGCACGCAGGGTTGTCTGCTTGTTGATATCAATCACTTTCCGAACCAGGATCCTTTTTTTTTTTTTTCAAGTCAGAGTTTTGCTCTTGTCTCCCAAGCTGGAGTGCAATGGCACGTTCTCGGCTCGCTGCAACCTCCGCCTCCTGGGTTCAAGTGATTCTCTTGCCTCAGCCTCCCAAGTAGCTGGGATTACAGGTGTGTGCCACCACGTCCAGCTAATTTTTTTTGTATTTTTAGTAGAGACGGGGTTTCACCATGTTGGCCAGGCTGGTCTCGAACTCCTGACCTCAGGTGATCCACCCACCTTGGCCTCCCAAAGTGCTGGGATTACAGGCGTGAACCACCACGCCCAGCCAAGAAAGGAG